TTTTTTTTTTTTTTTTTTTTTTTTTTTTTTTTTGGAAGTTAGCTTAGAAGTTTTTTAATTTTTTTTTAAGTTTTATTTGATTTTAAGAAGATTTTCTAAAAAATTACCTCGTTTCCCAGCGTTAGTACATGATAGAGTTGATAATAGTATTAGAAATAAAAGTTGTGCCACCAAAGAAGGCATCGTTGAAAAGTGTTGCAAAATTGACTTCTGTTGAGAAGTTTATATAAATTAAAACAGCCTACTCAACTTGCACTGTTTCTCCTGTTTTGGATGAAGCTTATGGAGCAAAAAATACATGAATCATTTTGATCATAGTGGTCTAGATAGTCAAGCGCATATCTCAAACAGCTGAATCCCAAAGCGGCTATACTTTTTTAACTCAATGGTGTGTTTATTTTGCTCATCGCTATTTTTCCTATTGCCTAAATTAGCATCCTCTAAGCTGACATTATGTTTTTGAGTTTTTAATTATTGGAATGAGACTATTGAATGAAATTTTTATGGCTATACTGAATTTTTTGCTAACCTGACAAAACAACAATTTTAATACATGTACATCTGCAGCTGATAAATTATACGCGTAAAAATGTTTATTTGAACGCATTTACATTTCACAGATTTAAATATTTCGTACTGCTAAAGTAATTTGATTCTTTTCATTTTTTAAAACTGAGTTTCTTCTGTTCATTTGATTGATTGATTCGCGTTTTTATTGACTATGCAAAATTTTGACAGTGAAGGTCAAAGTTATAACGACAGCTTTTTTTTGCACTTTTATTTTCTTTTTTTCTCTTTTTTCAAAGACCGAGTAAATTATTGGTAAACTTGGTTTTGTCTAATAGTGTTCAAAAACGTTATATTATTGCCTTCTGGCACAAATTTATGCATATTACACTGTTTTTTCTTTTTATTTTTATTTTATTTTTTTCTGTTATTGCGAGCTGTATATTTTGATGTTGAAAAACATTTTTTATATTTTCATTTTTTTAGGCTTTGTGTTCTTTTGGGGATGGGTGTTTCTTACGACAACCACGCTAGTATTAATTTTCAAAAAGGAAGTAGATCACTCAGTTGAACCTGCGTTAGTTTGGAATTTGTTAAATTGTTAATGAGAGACAGTTCTTTCCATTTTGTGAGTTTAATTGGGAATATTCTCTACTATATAAGGTTTTTTCAGCAATGATGGTGAAGAGGTTCAGTTGGGAATCGTAGACACATATACCGTCTTGTGGAAAATAGTGCGTTTGAAGCCGATGCTCTGGATGCTTGTGGTATTGCTGACTGGAAAAGTTAGCTTGCTATCAAACATTACTTTTGGATAAAAAGTCTCTGTTTCTTTTTATTACTCTGCTTGCCAACGTTAAGATCATATAATTCTAGTTCGCATTTGCTGCTACAGATGGTATGACAGGTTTAAAACTTATTGGAATGGGTATGCCAAAGGATAAGCTTTCCAGTATGGCTGTGTTTTTGACTCCACTACAGGTCCGTGTCTGTTTAGAATTCAGTTACTGTACAATCTCAAGGGTATCCTTTATGATAATAATCCTTTCAGATATTTTTACCATGGATGATTGGGAAATATACAGCCGGGCCACGCCCTTTAAATATTTTCCTTCTTGCATATCCTTATAGGTAATTAGTTTCCTCAAAAGTTGCTGTTTATCAAATAGAAAAATTTGAAAATTTCCAGGTTCTAATAGTCACTTAAGATTTCTTTGAAGGTTTCAAAGTACTTTTTGAATATCTTTCATTTATCATTCCCAGAATATTTATGGGGGGTGTGTTTGCCGCGTTAGTATGGTGGACTCCTTCGTTTCGTGTGCCAGATGGTGACTATCCGCTGATCTTGTATGCTATCTGGGTTGTTGGTTATTGTTTTCACCAAGTACGTGCTTAAGTCAAGGGTTTCTTTTGGCAGTTGCCGATTTTTCTTGTATTTTCTCTTTGTTTCTTCTGTGTTTGGACGAATTGATTGGAATGGCCAAGAGTGGATGGCGTTTAATATCCCCAAACTTTTTGCTTTCAGTATTAGCCATGGGTTGAGTTGGTAACAGAATCACCGTATTGAAACAGCCTCATTTGATTATTTCATATAATATAAGTTTTTAAAAAGTCATAGTGCTGAAACCTATTTCAAAGCCTCTTCAACAGCTACTCGAATTTTACACTTAATTTCATGAAATAATTGTGCTTTTGGGTTTTTTTTAAGATGGGTTCAAAAGACTGTTGACTGTTGACTGTTTTTGCTGAGGGAATTCTGATTTTCATATTACTTTTGGTTTTACATGTCGCTTCTGGTTGTGAATTTGAATTCAACAGGGTCTTGTACTTCAGGTGGCATCGTACTGCATGTTTGTTTCCATGATGGCATTCAACGCGCAGATCTCAGATCCGAAGATTGGTGGGACGTACATGACTCTACTAAATACACTCAATAATCTTGGTGGGAACTGGCCCGTAACTCTAATCCTTAGTCTCACGGACTATTTCACGTTTAAGAATTGTGTTGCAAAGGGCACTAAGAAGTCAGTTTCAGACGTTTCCTAACCACATTTTATTTTTTAGGTCAAGTTGTTTAGGTTACTTATATCAGTAAATTATATGTTACAGCATTGTTTTGGAAAAAGTTTTTGAGATTACTATTTTGCTCACTTCCTTCTTCATATTATTGTTGTTTTATCGTTTTTGGTTGCCTGTTTTATGATTTGATTAACGATATTGAGAGCTGCCTTACGTTCTTACTGTACCGCTTAAAAATAGTTTCATTGTAGTTGTACGGTTTTCAGTGTTCTGTATTCCTGCAATACCAAAACAATGGCAGATCAGTGCTCCAAAGGAGGTGACGTGTGCGAAATGGCTGTTGATGGTTATTATATTGCTGTGGCACTTTGTTCAGTAGTTGGTGTGATTTGGTATAGAGTGCTATTCCCAAGGATAAAGTGTTTCCAGAAACTACCGAGAAAAGAGTGGAGTGTAATGAAAAAATGAATTTCCTTCCAGGTTTCTCTAGTCACAGGACGTTGGATGTTTGATATGTTAGAAAAAAGATGTTTAGCTACGGGCTTCTTTTTTACAGTGGCTTAGTTCCAAAGATTTCTTATTATAGTCTTTGTTTTTAAGTATAATGATTTTTGGAACTCCCTGAGTCTCGGAATCTTGAAGCAAGAGGTCCACCAGTTTTTTGAAGTTGCTGGGAAGTGCCTTTTCGACATTTAACTGAGATATCTTTACAAAATAATTTTTTTTTTTGATGTAATCACTGTAAGCAATTTTGCGGCAACTTGTTGACAAAGTGTGAAACTGGAGCTTTTTACCTTTACACATTGATCTGATTTCATATGTTTGCGTAATTGCATGTCAAAATCTCCACATATCAGTTTAACTTATAATTTGTTATTTACTGACCTTTGGGTTGATTATATTTATTAATTGGGTTATTATACTAATTTAAACCGCGATGGTTGTTGTTGTATAATTCGGTGGTGTAATTTGTTGTCTTAAATGATGTACCCTTTAATTTCCTCGGAATTTGTCCATCTGATTTGGGCAAAATTGGGCATTACTGGGGTGAGCCTCTAGTCTTTTGGTACTTTCACTTAATACCAAGTTTGTTCGTGATTGGCAGAACAGAACTGCTTTTTAAAGTCAGGTCTGTTCATGTATGTGCACTCTCTCAGTTTAGTTGATGTTGCTTCCGTATATATGCAAAAATGTTAGCCATGCTTTATACAAGCTCTCTTTACCCATTAACCGCCCGTGTCACATAAAATTTTTTAGGTCGTGGCAAGTGGCGCCTCCAAGTGACACCTACACCGGCAAGCATAATAGGCATCCATCTTAAAACACCTTTAGCCAACAATGACAAGCCTCAAATTGTGCTTTCCAGCAGCCTCCATTCAGATCTCTTACATCTTATACAAGCAATAAAGCAACGCAGAGCAACATTTTTTTTGATTGCTACAGCAAGTATTTGATATGACTGCTACGAAAGCGTTGGCTTCTGAAGAACAATGTTATGGCTCCGAGCAACCGTTACCTTTTTTTTTTCTGAATTAGCTCTTTAGGCAAGACGGCATAACCCAGAGCCAAGTTTATTTTTGAAACAATAAAAATCGAGCAACAAAGAAAAACAAGAACACTTATTCATCTGCAATAGTTTCTTCTGTGTGTTTTCCCTTCAATGAGCCTAGAGCTTTAGCACGTCCTGCAGCCTTCCTCTCAATTATTGCACGACGGTCTTTATCCATCTTTAACTTTGAAATGGCCACCTATGAATTGAGAGAGCTGTGATTCCAGTAGAAACTATTATGTTAAATTATCAAAAGCTACCCAAATTATCTTGAAACTTGGGAATTGACTGCTAATAAATTACCTAATACACACAGATATTACGGAAAGTTAGAACTTCAAAAACCATCTAATAATTAGAAGACTATGAAAACATCGAAAGTCGGCCACTGTAACAAGTGTGTTTTCAAGCGCTCACAGTAAAC